CGGCTCAAACATGACTGGCTTATTCCTGAGCGGTCTGCCAGTTCTCTTTGAAAAGAACCAGTTGCCAGGAAACCAAGTGTAGTAAGCACCTGTAAAGGAACCGGTAATGCGTGGCTCCTCATTGTCTCTCTTTCTAAATTCGGACCCAACTCAGCGCAGAGCTCCAAGAGAATAGCCCTTGGAAATCTGAAATGGCTGATAAGCCAGTCATCATCGTGGGCCAGAAAATCATTGTAGTCCCTAAAAATTCATTCTCTCCAGATTCGTCCGTTCAAAATGTCTCTAATAAAGCCAACGCTGCCATTGCTAGACGGGTTGTATCAATTTGCACACGCTTTATATATGTTCTTACTTAATTGCATAATTAATAGAATATTTTAAGACTCGTGTGACAATAATATGTAAAATAATTTATCAATTACAAATTATAAGCAATATCTGACAGCTGGTGATGCGATTAGAACAATTCTTAGTGTAATGTTTGCCACTTCACTTTATTGCCTCTATGAGTCGCCAACGGACAAAAATCTCGACAAATGTACATACGCCAGACATGAAGTTTACTTGGAGGAACGCACATTCTTACGTTAATTTCACTGTTAGTACATCTGACCGTGAACGTGAAAGCTGGTGTACGCCGTGTTTTTGTGCGTACGCAGTGTTGATACATGAGGTCCCAGGGGTCTCATTTATAAAGCGTGCGTACGCACAAAAAAGGGCTGGAAACGTACGTACGCCAGTTTCCACGCAAAGTTTGTGATCTATAAAAAAACTTGACGGTAGAATGTGCGCACCATTAAGCAAACTTTGAGCCGTGCGTACGCACATTCTGGAGACAAAGGGAATTGGCGACACCGATGGTGAGCTGGAGTTAAATGACTTTTTGGTCACTTTTAAACGGAAAATCTATAGCCTATATTATAGCCTATCTATAGGCTACAAAAAGAAAATAGTCTACAAATAAAATTTCACTCACCAAGCCAATCACTTGAAGCCAGTATCCATCCCTTCTTAAATTTCTGAGCCAGCACGCGCGTTGGGCCGTTTAGTGAAACTGGCGCACATAATCTAACGGCAGATGAACCGTAAATCTTCATGAGTAGGCTAATACAGTGCACATTCTCAATAACAGTTTAAATAAATAAAATAATGATTTAAACTATGTTTTACTTCTGATATAAACATTTAGATTATATATGCCATTTAATGGAGTTAAAGACTTAAACTACATGAAATCATTACTGAGAAGTTACAAAAAAAATATATATTCAATAAATAGAAATATATATTTGTTGTGGATCCAATGCTTTGAAACACTTTTCCTCTGGCATGCAGTGTTTTAATATTTTATCTAGAGATAATTGCTAATCAAGATAATAGATTGTCTGAGAAAATAGTTCCATGCAAATAATCCACAACCATCTGTTTCCATTAAAAATATAAATTCATTAAAAATACTATTTGGCCAGTGGAAAAGATTGAGAAAATCTTTCTCTGAAATGTATTTTACACTATTTGATTTATTCATTCAAAAAAAGGCAAGGATATAGGCTACTAAAAAAAAAATAATAATAATAATTTATTGTGACACGGAACATCGGTATTTCATATTTTCCTAACGTCTTGTACGTTAACATGGTATCACGTGGATGAATAATCACATGCAAATGATATGCAGATGAGGATATGCATAGTAAAACTAGGCGTTGTAAACTCCATATATGGTTATTTCGGGGAGGAGACGCATGTGCGCGCATTCTTCCGCTGACTGGGATTTATAAAGGGAATTCTACGCAGGTTCTGGCGTACGCACGGTTTTATAAATCTGAATATTTTTTGGCGTACGCCATTTTTGGCTTTCGGGCGCACGTACACTTTTAGTAAGGATCCTACGCACAGTTTTATAAATGAGACCGTATATACAATTATTTGATGTATAAACGTTGCGTATGCACAAAATGGGCATAGTGTCATGTAGTGGAAGGATGAACCCAATTGCAGACAGCAAGTAACTCAAAATAAGGTTTTATTAATGACAAAAACAGAAAACAAAACCCACGATGGGGCAAAACAAGAACAGGTAGCAAACACTAAACTAAGACTCAGGTAATAAACTCACAGACAAGACTAGATACACACTTCTTACAAGATGATCAACAGAGAACTTACAGCTAGACTCACACGAGGTTTGACAAGGTAAGGAAGAAAATGTACCGACACAGGACAGCAAACACAAGAAGATTAAATAGGGAGAAACTAATGAGGGAAACAGCTGACTCTTACAGGCAATAATGACTAAACAAGGATAACGAGGGTGCGGGTTAAGAGACAGACAACGCAAGCACACAGCCCAAACAAATTGGCCATGTGCTTACACAGAAAAACATTGTTCTGCCATGATCCTGCCACAAGACTAGGAAAAATCAGCGACGTGATGGCAGAATCATGACAGAACCCCCACCTTAAGGAGCGGCTACCAGACGCTCCTCAAATGGACACTAAGCACAAGACAAGACAGAACGAGACATAGACAAAAAACCAACAGAACATAGCAAACGTCAACATTGGCGAACATGAAAAAACTATAACAGGGTTCGGGTGAAACAATAAAAATAACAAACACGGGAGGGGGGCGGGGCGGGGGAACAAAGGAGTTCATGGGGGAAGGTCCAGGTGGATGGGTGGACTAGGGGTCTTGGGCTTACGGGACGAGGCTGAGGCGAGGAATCCGGGCAGACTTGGATGGGGACACATGAGGCACAGTCTTAGAGGAGACAGTCCGCGGTGGTGATGTGGTGACAGGGGTGACCGGGGAAACGCACAGGGGCACAGAGGGTGAAGTAACAGGAAACCAGACCGGGGGAACAGCAGGGACATATCAGGACACATGACTGGGGATGTTGCAGGCGACCGGGGAGTGTTGAGAGGCAATGCTGGGCTCTCAGATTCGGTTCAGAACCAGCGCTCTCCATAGCAGACTCGGACACATCGTTCTCTGCAGAAAACTTGGTAATTGCACTCTCTGCTGCTGGCTTGGGAGCAGTGCTCTCTACAGCGCTTGGCACAGGGTCTGGGGGACAAGACAGGGACTTCTAAGATCTGGGCAAGACGAGACAGGTATTTGGGCAGGGCTCTTGCAGCAGTAACAATCGGTATCTCCTGATCAGCTGAAATAGAGCGAATAACAGCCTCAGCAGCAGAGTCGACCGCCTCCCTCTCTGCAGCACTCACAACTGTAGACTCTGGGACGGCGCCTGCTGGAGCGGGCTCTGGGACGGCGCCTGCTGGAGCGGGCTCTGGACGGCGCCTGCTGGAGCGGGCTCTGGGACGGCGCCTGCTGGAGCGGGCTCTGGGACGGCGCCTGCTGGAGCGGGCTCTGGGACGGCGCCTGCTGGAGGACAAGAGGCTCCCTTCTTCCTCCTCCTCTTCCTTCTGGGTCGCGGAGCTGAGTCCGTAGCCAGGCCAGAGAACGGTAAGGGGGGCAAAGAGGGAGACGAAAGCAGGCGCTGGGAAGACCACCGCAGGCAAGGGGGACTCCGTGGAGGATGAACTCCGACGCGGACTCCCACGACAAACGTCTTCCACGCTTTCCACGGGGGGCTGACGAGCACAGGTGGTGGGTTGGGAGTCAGGTGGAAGAAGCTTGTCTCAAGTGTCACGACAGCTAACACGTGGCCCTCGGGATGATTGGAAGAGTGGCAGGAGGTGAAGATCCAGTGGACCTAGCTGTTCCTTACGAGACAGGTAGCCACCATGCTGCGAAATGGACGGCGGACCAAACTCTCTCGTTCAGCAAGGGGAGGGAGGACCTGAGACCAGCGACGAGGTAGCGGTTGACCAGGGACTCTGGTAGAAGAAACCTTCTCTCCTCAATGACCTGGGCGTACCTCTTTAGGGTCAACTCACCCTGGGGAGGAAAAGGAGCTTGCCATTGGCACTGTCGGCAATAGCTGAGCGCCACCACAGTTCCGGGTCAGAAGGCTGAAGGCAAGCGGACAAGGACTGCACGTCTGCTGGGTTCGATTTTTGTCGGTACATTCTGTCATGAAGTGGAAGGATGAACCCAATTGCAGACAGCAAGTAACTCAAAATAAGGTTTTATTAATGACAAAAACAGAAAACAAAACCCACGATGGGGCAAAACAAGAACAGGTAGCAAACACTAAACTAGACTCAGGTAATAAACTCACAGACAAGACTAGATACACACTTCTTTACAAGATGATCAACAGAGAACTTACAGCTAGACTCACACGAGGTTTGACAAGGTAAGGAAGACAATGTACCGACACAGGACAGCAAACACAAGAGGATTAAATAGGGAGAAACTAATGAGGGAAACAGCTGACTCTAACAGGGCAATAATGACTAAACAAGGATAACGAGGGGGCGGGGTTAAGAGACGAGACAACGCAAGCACACAGCCCAAACAAATGGCCATGTGCTTACACAGAAAACATGGTTCTGCCATGATCCTGCCACAAGACTAGGAAAAATCAGCGACGTGATGGCAGAATCATGACATACCCAGATAAAAATTTCTTGTTGAATCTTGAAAGGTTCTTTGGGAAACAAAAACCCCGTGGATTCACTGCGAGAAATGTTTTTTGGAAACTTGGGTTTTAATATATATATATATATATATATATATATATATATATTATTTAGAGTTTTTGTAAACAATAGAAACACTTGCAAATGCTGTTTCAAGATGACTTTCTTGTCTCATAATTTACTGTGCAGGTGTTTTCATGCTTCACTGAGTGACATTTATTTGGGGTTTTGAGATGAAATACTTTATAGGGAAGTCAACATGTCTTGCAATGTAACTCCATCTAATATTTAATATTAATTTCTTGATGCAGACGACCCAATTAGATTAGAGAGGATACATTATATTACAAGAATATTTATAGGAATATTTGTACTTCTAAACACTGATAACGACAGGATATAAAACAGTAAATGGTTAAAAATATTTTTTTCTTCAAAGCACAGACTGAAAGTCAGACACAATATTATTGATTTTATTTCAGTTATAACAGAACATCATATATGCTCTTGTGTTAATGAAGTCAGAGAAGCAGAAGAGACACGTCGTCAGCCAGAAGGATGAAGCAGAAGCCAGAGGAGAGACTGAGCGGATCTACTGATCTGAACACTGATCTCTCCTCAGGTGTGCAGTGACTGCAGGCTGGCCGCTCCGTGTGGCCTCACAGCTCACTGAGACGCTCTTCATCCACTCCTGCTCAGAGAGAGTCAGGCTGCTGCTCCAGCTGTACAGAGCATTGTCCTTCTGCAGGAGCCCAGCGCTGCTCTCCTGAGCCCTGCTGCTGCCGTCCACCTTCCAGCTCAGGCTCCAGTCTGACGGCAAGCCCTCGCTGGCCACACACAGCAGTGTCGCTGTGTTCAGAGAGGAGATCTCTGCACTGGACGGGGGCAGGATGGTCACTTTAGGAGGAGTGTTGCCTGAGAGAACAAGACAAACAACTCGCTTAACAAACAGCTTCAGTTATTAGAGATTAAAGTCACAGAAAACATTCTTACCTTCAACTTAAACAGACAAACTAATATAATAAAAGGCCACTTAAGTGTAATTAAAGGTACTTTCATGACTATGTTTCTTAACACACTTAAGTACGCTTTAAAGAAGTGCACTTATTTTGATGTATTGAAAAGCGTAAAGCACTCTGTAGACTACTTCATTATAGTTTTAACTCTTGTTTGTTATTTGATATTACAAGTTAATATATTTTAAATGTACTAAATTGCAGCTTCATCTTTACAAATGTGTAATCACAAGTATATTTAAATACATGATGCGCACGTTTCAATAGAAATTACATCAATATATTTTAGTGAAAAGTTCATTTTAACCATATTTCAAAGACAAAATAATGAATTAAGAAATTACATATACAGATGTAATTAAGACTAGCTTAAAAAGCACTCTAAAGTTTAGATAATTGCATTTCATGTGAACTTAAGACATAATATATATTTTCTTCGAAAACATACATTTTGGTTCACACTGAAGTAAAATGTTAAAGCATATTATTATTTTGTAATAAGTACTCTTAAAAGTATCCTAAATTGCACTTTTTCCAGAAGAGGGGTGTAAAAAATATTCTAAATTGCATTTTATATTATAACTAAATTATTTTAAAATAAATCTTGAAAATAGAAATTCTATAAAATGTATTACAATATCTGTTTTTCAAAACAACACATTTATATTTCATGAATGAGTTTTACAATATGTTTTATTTAAAAGTAGGTTGAAAATCTATAATAGCGTATAGTACATTTTGAATACAGAAAAGTTGGGTACTTATCTATGAACAGTGTGCTTGGATTTATTTTGTTAATTTATATATTTTATTTATTATATTTATATAATTTATATATTTATTCTATGTAGTATGTCACATTTCAAAAACATATTCTTCTCATGCTCTTATAGCATGTCAATATTAGCAAATGTATCTCTTTTACAGGTCTGCATTTCCCAAAAGCATCGTAAGACTCAGTTGATCTTAGAGACCATTGGTGGCAATTGTTCCACGATCAACTTAAGCTTACGAAGCTTTTGGAAACACAGCCAGTGTCAATAATGGTGAAAATATTCAAATCTTTTTTTTTTGTTTGTTTTTTTTGTAGTTATGAGTTTTGTTATATGTCTGTATTATCATCTCTCACATATAAACCTACACTATATTTACTGTAAACATATCAAATAGATTATTTTTGTTCCACAAGACAAAGAAAAACATTCATATTGTCATAAAATATATAACTAAATATGACAACACTGTCCTGAATTAAAATGATTTAAATATTTACTTACTGCCAACATCCAGTCTGGTGCCGCCGCCGAAAGTGTACCACAGTGATCCACACTAATAGAGCAGACGTACAAAAACCTGCTGAACGCTTCAGTAGCTGCACTGTTCACTGCATCTCCAAAACAACATCTTTCAGTTCATTTACTGTTTAGTGTCAATTACAGGTCAATAAAAAATATATTTCATTTAAAAAAGGAAAAATGTTGTAATATATCATTCCATGATTAATTAAACACAATCTAAACCCCATTTGATTCACTGAAGGTCAACTACTGAATGATTATTTTATCATCAGCATATCCTTGGAAACTCTTGAGAAATATAGTTGATACTGATATAAAATATTACAGTAAGTGTAGAAATTACATTTGGTACCTAAATTTGAAAGTGAATTATTATTTTTTATTTAAATGAGTGTGTCGGATTTCCTCGTGGAAGGAAGCAGCTTTGAATATGTGCAACACCCCTTTGTTTAAGACGGACTGTGGGCCGGTCAGGACTGTAAACAGCAGGTCTCGTCTGTTCTCACTCATTCTCAGCAAAGATGACTGCAAACGCTCTGATTATCTGCTCTCTACTGCTTTCTCTCGCTGGTGAGATTAGTGTTGAACATTCAGAGCTTTTTCAGAAGTGCTTTATAAATGTTGTGTCATTCTTCTCATGTATTGTGTGTTTGACTGTAACACTGACTGATGTGCTGTGATGGCAGGTTATTTTGCTGAGATCATTCTGACTCAGAGTCCATCCGTGAATCTGGTGTCTGTGGGAAGCAGCGTCACTCTCAACTGCAGGTCCAGCAGTTCCAGCTTTCAATCCAGTTTAGTCTGGTATCACCACAGACCCGGACAAACACACAAACTCCTGTTCACTAGTGTTGGTAACAAAGTGTCTGGAGTTTCTGAGAGATTCACTGATGGGAGATCAGGAACAAACTTCATGCTCAATATTAGAAATGTCCAGCCTGAAGATGCAGGAGATTATTACTGTCAGCAGCATTATAACTATCCATTAACACAGTGAAACACAGCCGTACAAAAACCCCTTCAGTGAAAGAGGAACTGCTGATTTAGGCACACACCGCACACATAATACACTATGATAAGAGCCGATTTTTAAAGTTCTGAACACAAAAACTAAATCTGGCGCCAGATTAGGGTTAGGGTTAGGGTTAGGGTTAGGCACATACTTCGCTCCATACAAGCCTGTCTCCGGCCTCTGGTTAAGCACGGAGCAGAGCTTACACATAAACTGCCTGGAAATGAAAGCAGTTTGTCTGACCATTGGTGGCAATTGTTCTACAATTGTTTGACAGAATGTATTAATATGTAGTATGTTTATATATATATATATATATATATATATATATATATATATATACTTAGAGCCTAGAGTAAAAAAAAAAAAATCTAAGTATAGGATACCAGGTACAAATTATGCTTTGTGGCCTGGAGGTTGATAAAGCGCACATTCTCTTTGTGTGAAAATGCAATATTCTGATTTAATTTAAATAATTTTTGTTAATCTTTGTAGATCTGCTCAGGGTTTACATCTACGACAAGTAAACATGCTTCAAGATGGCATTGCAAAGAGCACAGCGACACTTTCCATGATGTCAAAGAAACTCACAAGAATTTGTGTACAAAGCATGGAGAAGCACCGGAGTAGGTGGTGAAGTCAATGTCCTTGTTCACATTGATGAAAGCAAGTTTTGCCACAAACGCAAGGTAGTGTAATCTAAAAATGTAATATTAAGAGATTTTCTTTAGTATTTTTTTTTCTTTAGTAATACTGTTCATGCTGTTTTTTTGTTTTTTTGTTTTGTTTTTGTAGTATGCAAGAGGACGCTTTGGCAACACCTGGAAAAGAAAGCGAACGTGGGTGTTTGGTATACAGTACGATCAAAGCTGCAAGCAGATGCCCCATTCTTCGCCTTGTGAAACAAGGATACCCTTGTTACCATCATCAGGAAACATGTTCAACGTCAAAGTCTAGTTGTGAGGCTTTTCAAGCTTTTCAAGCCTCACACCATCGGTGCTCGAGTCCTAAATATCTGTACTTCGAAGGAGAAAAGAAAGTCAGTCAGAGTGCAATAAATGCTTAAACGCAGCAAGAAATCTGATCTCGTGTCTTCTTGTTGCATTCCACTAATAGTAAATGGTTAGATCTGCACAATGGAACCTATTTCACAGTTTGCGTTCTCAAGCCACTAAACACTGTTGTCGAGCAAATGAACGGCCAGAAAACATAATTTCTGTTTTCAGGTAAAACGTGTAAGCAGTGGTTAAAGTGGGATTTGTCATGTGGGGGAACCCTCAAATTTTGTGTAGGTGCAACAGAGAAAAATGACTCACCGTGGGATAACATATTGAGTATCGTGGTATAGCAATACTTTTTGGGTGTCGCTGTGGCACCAAGTAGCCTGTCACTTATTTACTTGATATTTTAATGGTTTAATTTGACCCATCAACACTGATTTAATGACAATACTATGTTACAGTTTTTTTTATTCGCTTTGGTACTATTTTCACAAGTAAGGTGTACATTTTCAAAACTCTTAGTACAAAAATCCAAACTGATCACACTTGTAACGCAGCTAGTCATTCTTTCAAAACCTGATGTAATGCTTTCAGTCAGTTGCACATGTTTTCAGTCCACATAATAATTATTTCAAACACAAGATTATTGTAATATGTAATGAGAACATTTGGTTTAATGAAACACAACAATATGATCTTCTTTCAGTTTAGTACTTTTAACAATCAGTTCATCCAACAGCAAACAATGCAAGATACATGTTTCAAATCGGCCTTAGAAGTGCTGAAATGAATATGCTACAGTACTATAAAAGACAGATTACACAGTTTTACTGTAACATTAGGCAATACACTTACAGTACCCAACATTTACATAATCTATAATTTCCAAATATCCATCATATATGTAGGCCTACAAATGAAGGATCAATGAAGACATCCTTTACAATCATTTAGGCAAATTATAGTTTTTATTTTTCAGATATAATTGTAATATAGGTATACTTTCTATAATGAAATGTAACTAAAGAAGAACAAAACATAACATTTAGTGCACACATTACAGTACATAGTGGCCAATTGTGGTCAGACTGTGAAAAAAATTGTGAAAAAAAATAGCTATAACGAGTATTCATCATGTGTGGTTACTGATTACATGTAATTTAAATATTCATACAAACACACATTTTATTTCTGTAGTTCTCAAAATCCATATACTGTATATTGCTGAAATGAAAATCTATAGGTTTACCAAATGATTAATTGATTAACCATTAAGATCTGTTGGATTAAATAATAGACAAAAGTATTAAACTGAACAAAAAGAGATGCAAATCAAAAGTTTGATAGTAAGAGCTTTATGAAAGGCAGTTACTGTGAATGAAACAATAATGTAGATGAAACACTTATTTTGTGTTGTGAAAAGGATACTTTGTGATTGTGTGAATTGTACTAACACAGTTGAAAACATGATGAAATGTTTGAAAAAAGTGCACTTTTGATGATCTGTTGTGATATTAGCACTAAGAGTTTTGAAAATGTACACCTTACTTGTGGAAATAGTACCAAAGCGAATAAAAAAAACTGTAAAATTGCTTAACACTGGGACAAAAAGTGGGGTTCAGGGCCTCCCCCGAGAAAATTTTGATTTCTCTGACCAAATTATGTGCAATTTAAGACTTTTGAAGGCCAAAAAAAAGAGGATAATAAATAGCTTTAAAACCATGTCAGTGGGCATTCGATTATTTTGTCAATAGCCTGCTCTCTTCTCATCTACATCTTTCTTTTTCTCAGTCTCCTTATCCTGCCCTATTTCTTCCCCTCCTAAACTCCTAAACCCCCTGAAATAAATAGGCTTAACTGATAGTTATATTTTTTATGAATCATTATGTAGCACCCGTACAACCACTCTGTGAATTACTTAAGAATGGAGGGTGCTTGGGTTCGATGTAGTCAGGTGGATACCACGAAGGTGCACCTAATAAGTGTATTTGAGCTACACAACTGTTAATAAGAAAATATTTTAGAAATAAGGAGACCCAGAGATGGTTTATATTTTAACAAAAAGAATAGGGTAACACCCCAGTTCCCATTCAGGGAACTTCGAGCTGCGTGTAAACGCCGTGGGAACGCCTCTGCGTGACGAGTCATGAAGCACGTATGAAATCTGTCCAATGGCGAGACGGAACGTCATAGGCGGGGTGACGTATCGACCAGGAAACTATAAAGCATCCCCGAAACACAAGCGCAACAGCTTCTGAGTCTTCACAAGCGCTCTATGTATGAATATTGTCTGTCTGTCTGATATTGTATATATATATATATTGGAAAGAGAAAATATGGCGAGCAAACAACAGCAGAATTTCAGAAAGTGTGTTCATCCCTGCCCTCGCTTCATCACGGGTGGGGACACACACGATCTGTGTGTTGTTTGTTTGGGAGTGCAGCATGCTCAGTCGGCTCCCGAGGGGGCCGGCTGTGAGCACTGCGAGTGTCTGTCCATGAAGACACTTCGCTCCCGCCGGGCACTCTTCGAGGAGAGTGGTTCGGTGCGCGCTCCCCGCGGCTCGGGTCCCGCTGCTGCCGAGGCACAGCGAAGGCTTGCGTCGTGGGGTTCGCAGATGGATCTATCAGCGGGGATTGAGACGGGCCCCGCCCTTTCTCTGCCCTTACCTGGTAGATCCAGTGCCTCAGTTCTCGCTGCGGGGGTCCGCGTTGCGGTTTCTCCTGCCCGGGCTGAGGCGCCATCACTTCAATTATCCAGTTCTGAGGAGCTGGATGTTGAAAGTGTGGATGCAGAGTCTATGGACTCAGTGGAGATCGGGGACTCGCCATCCCAGTCTCCCGCGAATGTAGAGCTGATGGAGGTTTTGACTCGGGCTGTGGAAAAATTAACCATTGAATGGCCAGTTGAAAAACAAGAGTCGAGAGTAAAAAGTAAAATGGATGAGAGATTTTTAAAATCACACTCACTACCTCCACGCCGGTGTTTGCCCTTTTTTCCCGATCTACACACCGAGGTGTGTAGATCGTGGAACAAACCAGTGTCAGCTAGAATTTTGACACAACAGACCTCTATGTACGCTAATATTGCTGGGTCTAGGGGACACGGTTATGGGGCGATGCCGAGGATGGAGGAAGTTTTGGCGAGCCATCTTTCTCCTGAGACGGCATCGTCTTTTAAAACACCGGCGTTGCCCACCAAGCCACTCAGAAATACTTCGGTTTTGGTGGGCAAAGCTTATTCAGCGGCGGGACAGGCAGCATCTTGCTTGCATACGATGGCCATCCTCCAGGCGTATCAAGCAGATCTGCTGAAGGATATGAGCGAGGGGGAGGTCGTCAGCACTGACGTGATTAATGAGCTGCGTCAGGCGGCAGATATTTCTCTCCGTGCCACCAAGGAGACGGCCAGATCAGTCGGCCGCTCTATGGCAGCCCTGGTGGCCACGGAGAGGCATTTATGGCTAAATCTGGCTAATATGAAGGAGAAAGATAAA